ATCAATATTTTTCATGTTGCGAAGAATTTAAACAATAAAATATTCTATCTTTTAATTATAATAAAATTTTAATTATAATAATGCTAATAATATAATTTTCATTGATTAGGATTCCATTATATAAATTCTATTATATAATAGNGTATTTTTATTTGATGTAATCATATATCTAAAACAATATTAGAATTACAGAAATAAAAATGAAAAATTTACTGAACAAATCAATTGAATAAAATTCAAATGATTTATTGAAAAAATTTTACTATATAAATTCCAATTTAATTTCTAACTGGATTGCAATCTAATAATAAAAAAATCATTTTCATTATTATTTTTAAATAAAATTATTTTTATGGAAAATTTTATTAAATTTTATTAAATTTTCAATATAATTATTTTAATATTATACTTATTTTTTATTTTAAATATTTTTTATATTATGCTTATACTATAATATTCTATATATGCTTATACTGTAATATTAACTATAATATAGACTATAATATAATATAGATTTTTTCATAAATATCAGAATTTGACAAATGAATTAATTATTATAAAATGATTAAGAAATATAACATAAAAGATTTTGTTTAATTTATCTCTTGATTCATTAAATAATAATAAATAATAATAAAATAAAATAATAATAATAATAATAATAATAATAAAATCTTACTATTAATATTAAGAAAAATCTTTTTAATCTCATGTGTGTTTATAAATACTAAAATGTTTCAATAAATAAATCAAAATCTTTTGTACATATTTTATGAGATTGTTTATTTATTCAGTGAAAATATTATTAGAACAGACACAACAGAATGAAAGATTTATCTTTCTTCTTAATCATATTATCAATCCTAATTTTTATCTCTCATGATAAAAAATCATCGAAATCATTGAATAAATAATTATAACTTCAAATAAAGATTATGATTTAAATAATTCTATTATTAAATAAATTCTTTGTAAAGTTTCTTTTTTTTAAAAAGTTTTTTTCTTTCTAATGAATTTTCTAATGAATTTTAGAAAAATTTTTTTATCATATTCTTGTGTTAAAAATCACATTTCTTACTTTAAACAATTCTATTTATTTTAAATCTTATCAATAAATATAAAAAATTGAATAAAATCTACTACTTCGATTTCAGATTTTACATTCAAATTACATTACAATTTTACATTCAAAATTAATTTCATTATCAATGAAAATATTTCTCTTTTTAAAATATTTAAACTTCTATCTTATTATATAAAATATTTTCAATGTATTTTACTTATCTACCTTTCATTGGATGTGAGATTCTTTAGTTCCGGTACCCAGCACCAATATTTTTCTGGTATTAACGTAATGAAGATTTGTGAAAAATAAACCCATGCCACAAATGAAGTAAAAGGAATCATCAATATAAATAAGATCTTCTGATAAAGTCCAAATTCTCCGACATAGGGTAACAACTCGTCAAAATCTAAATCCTTCGTTTCTTCTTTGATCTCATTTGCTTCCGGTATTTGGATATCCATCGAGTTCTGACAATTCAAATTATTATTCCGACTATTGTTCAAATGTATAGACGTTTCAAACTTTTCTTGAGGAGGCATCTTTTCAAAAATAAATTCTTCAAAAAAATAATTAATTATTGTTACAAGAATTCGATCATCTTCCTCTTATCAAACTTACAGATTAACCCGTTGTCTCATGGTTTACATAAAAAAATCGTAAATTGATTTCTATGTTCCCAAATGCATCGTATTGCTTTTATATTCACATCAAAATTCCTCTTTAAATTTATTTAAAAGCCTGTTTGAACTGCGATTCTCACAGACACAAATCGATCACATGGATCACTATTATTTATCGTTGATATCGCATGAATCCATAATAATATTTCAGGAATAAAAATAAGATTAGATTAATCTTAAAGAATCAATAATGTGGAAAAAAAGAAAAAAATGGACAAATCCTGACCGAAGAGTTAAGAACTGAAACGATCAGTCCTGTAACTGGCTATATAACCACCGATCGAGAGGTACTCCCTCTCTTTTCCATGTACAAGTTGAATTCAATGCTCTGCAAGTGGTATTAAAGAGAATGCGGATCGCGTCAATCATATACCGCGTCATTAGTAGCCAACTATTTCTTTTGCATTTTCCCCGATTGCAAATTAAGGCAAGACAATTATTTTTTCTCGTTTCAACGTGTTCATTTATTTAATTAGTCACATAAATATATGTCCAATATATTACAATATAATTATAATATATTACAATTTTATATCAGTAATTTTTTAGAAAATTATATAAAAGAAAAAAATAATTCGAAATTTATTTTCGACAAATATATTTAATATTTTATTGTAGAATAATTATATAATGATTATAAAATAAAAAAGAATGTAAAAATAGATAATAATTAAAATCTAAATTAATATATTAAATGAAAATTTTAAAAATATGTTGGTATTTTTTATAAAATTTTATGAATTAATCATTTAATTATAATTATTATTTTAAAAAATTTATACCATTATATCAATTTAGATTATGAATAAGTCTACTATTTTTTTTTTTTTTAATTATCAAATAATATAAAAATCACAAACTGAAAACAGAAATCTACTTGCTATGTTTTTTTGTATAATTTTTGAATATATATATTTAAATATGAAAAAATTTAAGAAATCAAAGAATAAAAACTTTATTCAATTATTTAATCTCATATAGAATATAATGATGAAAAAACAATCAACTTATTATGATAAATCGTTATAAATTTATATTTATTATTATAAATTTATTATTAAAAATATCTCAAATAAAAAAAGATTACAATTTCTGTATCTTTAAAATCGTTTTTTTGTTGCATAATTTTCACATTATCTTTTGTTAATAGTTTATTTTCAGCAAAAGTAAACAATTGATTGACTTATTTAATTCATATGATTATGCTGAAAATTTTTTCCAAGTATCTTGCGCGTTAGCAATAATTTCTTTTTTTTTTCGCATTACATTTTATCATCTTTGTTTTCTATTTATAAATTATAAAAATGAAAATAGGTTGTATGAATATAATATCAATATACTTTTATCATTTTTATCTATAATCAACATTATCTATTGGAAACTGGAAAATTGGTGAAGATTTATTTGATAACCTAAAAGATAAAGGAAATTTCTCGAAAAACAATAGTGAATAAAAAATTTCTAATAAAAATACGTGTAAAATAGTAAAGATATTACACACTTATTTAAAATATAAATATTATAGTCTTTTGTCAATATATTTTAATATATTTTAATATATATTTTATATTTAAATATATTCGTCAATATATTTTGTCAATATATTTGTCAATATATTCGACTGAAACTTATTCATACATATAAAAAAATATATTTTGATATGATTCATTTTTATATTATATGCATACAAAAATAAATATTAGTAAACAACAAATTATCTGGAAGTAAATATATTTTAGATTAAAGATTAACAGACATTTACAATACTTTTCGATTACAGAATCATAAATATACAAGCATAATAAAAGCTATTACCATTATGACAGCATCCGATTTTAAAGATAAATTTTTATTTATTTTTTTTTTTTTGCCGCCATAGTGATAACATTCAAATGCAAAAGGATAATAATTATTATTACTGCGCACTAGACATAATAAGAATAATTTATTGATTATACAAGTTGTTAATTTAATCAATTAAAATTGAATTATTTTTTTTTAATAAATATTAAAAAAATTATGCAGAAATAAAATCGTCTAAAATAAGAAGTTTTTGTATCTAAGATCATTTTTTACAAAACTTTATCAATAATTTATTTTAAATGGAAATAGATTAGAACAATATATTGTTATGAAAAATAAATAATTTTTAATAATGAATTATTATAGTTTAGTTTTATTAAAAAATTCTTTTAATATAAAAACTTATGAAAAGTATACATAGCCTCAAGAAATCATTCAAATATGAAATCTTTAATTCTTTTCACAAATCATTAGAATATATTTAATGTATAAAATTTATATCAATATAGCACCCATTAGAAAATTACTATAACACAGGAATATATTTTTTTATAATTATTCATTATATTGACTGTTATCAATAATTAAAATTTCTTTTTTTCTTTATGTGTATATGACACATATTAAAAAAGTAGAATAAAAAACACGAAGACTTATATCACTTCATATGTTTCATATAATCTAACAATTTGTTATTATCCGAAATATTACATACAAGATAAATTATCAGACAAAATACATGTTTTATTAATATAATAACGCATAATAAACAAACCTAACATTTTTATGTACACTATTAATATCCATGATTCATGGATGCAAAGATAATAAATCAAGACAAACCTCTCCTACAATTTCAGGAACTTAGTTCTATTCCATTATCAATATTTTGATTATTCACAGTAAAATTTTTTACATCAACATTCATAGCAGTGTCAGAAAAAGGTTTACTCATGAATAGGATCTTTTAAAATATTTAGATGCGAATATTATCTGATTATACTTAAAAACAAAAACAAATTATTAAAATCGACCTTAAACTACGCAGTGCTTTCAAGCTCCTTGTGTAGAAAAGTTTCGATATCCACTCGACATATAGGACAGCGTTTATTAGTACATAACCACTGATCGACACAGTCTATATGAAATAAATGCATGCATGGAAGCCTCCTATGTAAAAACATTAAAAGAATTATATATAAGAATTATATATAAAATAAAAAAATAGTTACTAAAGAAAATTATTATATATATAAAAAATAATTATACCTGACACTTTCACAGTCTTCAAATTCAGATAAACATATAGTACATTTTTCAATAGAATCTTCATTTTCAATTTTTTTCTCCTATTAAATAATAAAATATTAAAACTAAGTAAAAATAACAATACACATATTGTAACGAATTTATACAAAAATATAATACATTACCCGTTTATATTTATAACGGAATGTGTGATTTTCAATTGATTCTTGTGTTGCTCCACAATTAATATGAGCCATATGCCGTAAATTAACAAGACGCATATAATTTTCAAGTTGCGCCGACATTGGACGTGCTGGATGTAGCAAACCAAAAGATGAAAATGGCATTGTATCATGAGCATCAGATCCTTGCTGTGTGAAATATATATATATATACATATATATACATATATATATATTATATATATATATATATATATATGTATATATATGTATACAAATACAGAAAATTATTCATTATTATCAGTATTATATATAAAAACATACCAAATGAAGATGTTGCAACCAATTAATATGAATATGGTGTCTATGTTGTGGACCAGGTGGCCTTCGATGAGGACCATAATGATGATACATATGAGGTACATAAGGATGAACTGGCATTGAAGGCAGCATAACTGGTGGTGTTGGTTCCATTTCTACACCATTCAAAGAATTTTCCTAAACATATAAAATAATGTAAATCAATGCTATAAAAATTAAATTCTTGAAAAAACAATAAAAAATAAAAAAAATTATAAATTCATTATAATATTTATTATAATATAATTTCTTTGATTGAAATTACCATCACAGATTGTGCTGGACATGATGGGCTAACATTTGGTGGTCTCCTAGCTTCTGGATGACTATAAACAGTAGGTTGTTGTGGTGGTGGTAAAATTGGAGGAGGAAAATAATTTTCTGCAAATGTCATATTTTCCGAACCATTGCAACGATTATTTGCAGGATTAGGATTTCCATTATTACACGTATGTTGATTTGCTTGATGAACATGTGGATTGCATGATGTAGTACTACTAAATATAAAAATTATATATAATATAAAATTTCAAGTATTTATCCTGATACTAACCTATGATGTGTCGAGAATCTTGGATGAAGACTCCGCCTATGTACTTCTTGTACACGTTGTTGCATCCTCCATAATCTCTCTTGCACAGGATGCATACGTGGTCTTAACATTCCTGTAGAAGCATCTGTAAAAAAAAATAGAAATCAGAATAACATCATTACAGAATATTATTAATTTTTTTAAATTTTTAATACAATATTTTTATTTTATAAATATTCTTACCTGGTAATTGACTGTATCTTACAGGTATAACAGGAATTGGAATTCTATAATTATGATGCATACATCGGCCATGATACACATAGTCTGGTGGACTATGCATGCAATAAGTATTGTTCCCACTATAAAACAATTATTAAAAATCTATAATTAAACATATTATATATTAAATAATTTGTCATACCTATGTACATAATCCGTTGTTCCTGGACTTACAACCGAAGTTGTTGGGGTTGGTGGAGCATGTTCTTCATCTGATTCTACAGTCAAATCAACTACAGTTACTGGACGATTATTTTCTTCATTATTTTGCACAGAATTCTGCTGTTGAAATATATTAAAATATTTTGTATTTTAAGCTCTTTAATATATAAACTCATTGTGAAATAATTTAATAAAACTATTTCACCTTATTATTATTATGATTTACTGAAACAAGAACTTCAACCGAACCATCTTCATCATCACTACTAGTAGCATCATCACTACTTGAGGACCAATCTAATTGTAAATCAGGCGCTGATGGTGTATCATCATTTCCTATTCAATATAGATAAAATTAAAGTACAAAATTAAAATACATATTTAATTATTCTTAATTATTATTAATAAAAAAATCATACTTGTTGAATGTGTAGAATGTTGTTGAGAATTAATTGTATTTGGCAAAACTGAATGATACAAAGTATTAACTTCATTGGCACTGTCATTCTCCATATTCTGCATGACTCTGTTTAAAAAAATTTTATTATTAATTATATAATTAATTATATTATTAATTATATAATTAAATAAAAATAAAAATTGTATAAATTTAAAATTTTTAATTTTAAATTCTATACTTGTTAGAAGTTTCATCTGACAATCTAGATGGTCCAGCTACATCCAAATTATCAGATGATTGATAATCCAATGATCGTTCTTCACTTCTTTTACTTTTATGTTTTACTGGAGGATCACGTTCGTGTAAAATTCCTGTTGTTTCAGGCCCGTGTAAATATGTCCCAAATACAAAATTATTGTTTGAAGCAGAATGATGAGAAGGATTTACATAAGGATTAATAGGTACCACATCTAAATCTTCTACATCACTTTCTGCAAATAAGTGATCATATTCCATGTCATTGGCTAAAATAAAGAAAATTATTAAAATTATTGAAAAAATTTTTTATATAAATTTTCTTTTTATTAAAAATAAATTTTAATAAATTTTGTTAAAAAAAATTATATGTTATATTTAAAAAAATATGAAAAAAATTAATACATATATTATGTTTTATATTATATTTTACCTGAATTAAATCTTGGTTGTGGAGAAGGATCAACTGTAGATGAAAATGCTGTATCAAATATATCTGCTAAAGAAGTGGAATTTGCTTCCATAGACTGAGTTATGGATTCTGGATGATATAAATTATTTTGTTCATTTGCTTTAGTTTTGCACCAAACATTTTCAGAACTTGTGCTTTCTTCCATCCTATTTGATGAATTTGATTATTTATATTCAAATAAAGATTTATTATATTTATTATATTTATATAAATAAAAAAATGTAATTATAAAATTACATTTATTTATTTATTATTATTATTATACAAATATTATAAAATGTATTCTTT